ATAAAACCTGAAATCTTAACGGGAAGATCACAGACAGACATCTAAGTTGCAAATATAATTTTCTACTTCATTTTATCGCAGGTGGAATATCGGCAAAACTCCACGATGGCCTCTGGTTTTGTACCCTCCGTTTTCGACCCAGATGTGAACCCACAAGGCCTTTCTTAGGATTGCCGAGTGAAAGTGGCCTTGAGTGGGGCTTGCGATGCTCAGCCCTAGGGCTGGCTCCCTGTGACATCTCCCTCCCCACCTCGCCCGCCACAGCTTTTCCGGGAACTCCTTCTCGTCCTTCCTGCCACCGGGCATAATTGATGGGTCCCTCTGATGTTGGGAAAAACAGCCTTGGCAGAATGGACCATCCCTTCTGGCCACTTAAGCGGCTCAGAAGATGGAGAAGAGCTATTACCAGAAACCTACAGGAGGAGAGGGGGAGCTTCAGGACCGGGCAGGATGGTGCCCCTTCATCCACAAAATACAGTTCAGACACAGACATAGACACACATACACACCCATTCCTACAAAAAGCTCCTTCCGCCTCTAGAAATCAACCGAGGTTAGCTTGCGTGGAAATAAACTCCCGATGTATGTAACAAGTCTTCTTCGGCCTTATTGCAAATAACCGAGTTAAACTGGGCCATGCGGGACTGAATCTCAGGCCAGACAAAGCAGCCCTTAAAAACTGCCGAGGTCCTTTTAGGTGAGTGACCCCCGGAGATCTCATTGTCTTCCAAGAATTAATACAATTAATCTGTTGACAGCTTTGGCTGCCCGCCCCCCCCTCCTCCCGGGCGCCTTTAATTCGTTCTTCGAACCAAATGAACGGAAAAATGTAATGAATGCGGCTGACTGCCCTATTTTGAAATATTTACGGGCTGTCTAATGCATTTAGATCCCGCGATTCAAAGTATTGATTTTCCTTTCCTTTCCACCATGTCTCCCTTCAGGCCTCTTTGCCCGTGAAAGTGACGCTAGCTACAATTCGGGTTTCTGCAGCTTACAAACTATATCCGTCCAGGCTGCAAAGGTGAGGAATTCCGTCCATGTGGAAGAGCCGAAAGATTCTCTGCCCTCCCCAGCTGGCAAGTTATGAACAGCCAATGTGTCAAAAGGGATCCTAAGGAGGAGTGGAAGGGTCTGCAAAAGAATGAAGAACCACCGTCCAGGTGATCCAGGGAAGGGGATGCCAGCAAGCAGGAGGAGGGAAGGGTCTGTGCGTTGGGGGAGGACCAGAAGAGACACGGGGGGGGGGGTGTTAAAGTAGTGCCAAGTGGCGAACTCCGCTGCATTGCGGGCATGAGAGTGTGGGATGCCACCCGTGAATTGGGGCCTCTTGACTGCCAAAGCGATGCCAGCCTGCGCCAAACACCTCTCAAAAGCTGATGGGAAAAAGAAACTGGCATTTTTTGGGGCTGCAGGGCATATACAGAAGAGGCCTTAAAGTCAAAAGGGAAGGGGATGGGGGCTTCTGCCAGGCGGTAAGACTTCCATGTGCCTCCCCCTTACTCAGTGGCGGTCTCATCAGCGGGACCCAAGTGTCCTGTTATTTGGGGGGAAAGCTCCCCACTCAGACAAGCATTTCGGTGGCACGTTTCCCAGGATACGGGCTGTTTCCATTTTTATGGCTAATTACCCTTGGGTCTGGCCTGAATGGCCCACCTCTGTCTCTGGGGATCCTACCACCCACCCAGCTTTCTTCCCTCCATGCCCAGCAGTGGCCCAATGGGGTTGGGTGGCACCTTCTCTCATGGCACTGGCACAAAGAGCCCGGCTGGGCTGGGTCTTCTAGGAAGCTGCTAATGCAGCCTAAGGAAGTGTCACGCCTCTGGGAGGGGGGGGGGGGAGAGGGAGCCAGGCAGGCCGAGTGAGTCTCCCCTTCCTGGAGATGAGGTGGCCTCCCTTGCAGGGAAGACAGCTGGTGGTCAGGGGACCAGGGCAGGGTGGAGGAGGGGCTGCCTCCCTCCATGCTCCAGGCCCTGATGGGGAAATCAAGAAGGCCCCCCTGGGACAGGGTGGCATCAGTCCATGGTCTTCTCTCTGGCTCGGTCGGGGCGAGGAGGCCCACTGGGTCAACCCCTCTGTCCAGCCACTTTGCTGTCCCCAGCTAAGGTTCGCGCAAGGAGAAGTGGGCTGCGGCCCCTTCAAACCCCAAATGTTGGCCTCTCGCTGAGCCACAGAATCAAAGCGCAGCTTCTAAGTGACGCGATGTGCTCCGTTCTTGATTGATCGGGAATATTAAAGAGCAGTTTTCACTTTTAGGAGCACTTGGGATTTAGGCATTTTTTTGGCAGCAGAAGGCGGATCCATGTGGCTATTTGCCATCTCAGCCCCTTCTTTCTTTTTCTTTCTCTTTCTCTGTTTTTCTCACTCTCTCTCTCACTTTTCCCCTCCTTTCTTTCTGCCTCTTTTTCTCTTTCTCTTTTTGCCTCTCTCTCTTTTCCACTCTTTCTGCCTCTTTTTCTCTTTCTCTTTCTGCCTCCCTCTCTCTTTTCTCTCTTTCTTTCTCTCTCTTTCCCCTTCTTCCTTTCTCTCTCCCTCTCCAGGTTTCATGGCAAAACAAAAGCCGCTCCGACCGTTGCAACCCTTATCAAAGTTTGCTCAGCGCTCTTATCGCGGTTGGCACCAAGGGGAGCTCCGGAAACGCTGCCCACGCTCCGGATTGGGCTTCCCTGCGAGCCCCCTTTGGAAAGCCACCTGCCCTTGTCTGGGGCTCGATTGCGCCGGTGTTTTCAGGGAGATGACCTCGAGGTAATCCCCGCCGCGCGGGGAGAAACAGCTGGGGAGGGGGAGAGGGAGGGTCCGCGCCTCTTTTGGAGGAGCGAGAGGGGCAGCAGAACCAGAGCGAGACCCGATTCTGGCGCTGAGGCTGCGCCGGCTGTCAAACTTCCCTTGCGCTGCGCTCTTCTTTTGGGAGACCCGCCGCTCCCGCTGCCTCGCCGTAAGACGGGGACTGGGACGCCTCCTGTCCCCGGGCAAGGCGGCCCCCCTCCCCGCCCTCCGCTCCACCTGCCGGTTCCCCCCGACACTCACATTTCGGTGAAGTTCTCCAAGCTGCGCAGCTGCGCCAGGGAGTGGATGTCGCGCGGCTCCTGGCAGAGCAGCGCGCTCAGGTAGCAGCGGCACTCTTCCAGGCAGGGCGAGGGGGCACCGGGCGACAGGCACAGCCAGCCCAGGCACAGCAGAAGTCCGGCCGAGGCGCAGAGCGGGCTTCTCCCCCCGGCCTGCATGTCGGAGCCGGAGAAGCGGCCGCTCTCATCTGCGCCTCCCTCGGAAAGTGCCTGGTCGCGGGGGACGCTCAGGGCATCTGCCTCTGCCCGGCTCCCCTTCCCGTCTGCGCTGCACGTGTGGACGCCGCAGCTGCTCCATTCCTGGAGGGGTTTTCAACCTTCGGGGGGCGGGGCTGACTCCAGGCTCCTCCTTCCCAAACGGCACCTCCCGCCCTGTGCCCGCGGCCCTCTCGGGGATGCGGACGGAGCAAGACGGCCGGCGCACCCTCTAAAATGCGAGGCTGCATCCAGAAGCAAGACACCGCCCGTTTTCCCTCTGAGGTTGGCAGCCCACTCTGGGTGGCATCCTCTGCCCCCTGTCCTTGGCCCTCCGGACAGCCAGCTGATCAATGGACGCAACGCCTTTCAATAACTGGTCGATAAAACCGTTGCGCGCAGCAGAGGCACAGCCACATCGGGGAAAGGGGGTCACGGAGCACTCACTTCTTGCTCCCACTCCTAGAGGGACCCTCCACATTTCTGAGTGCCCTGGCCTAGTGGTCCTCCACCCACAGCCGTGGGGGGACTGTCATGCCACCGCCACGCCAAGGTTTTTGACTTGTCAAACCAGTGAGCGATGCTGCCCTCGGAGTAGAAAGCGCCTTTACTTCCCTGTCTTGCGGTCAACCCGGGGGAAACAGTGCCCTGACCGCGTGCAGAGACCCCCGCCAAGGAAAGCAGGTGCCCAGAGTGAGAATAAGTGGAGAGTTGTGAGTCTTGGAGGAGGAGGAGGAGAAGTGGGAAGAGGAGGAAGATGAGGATGAGGAAGCCCAAACCAGCCTCCGCTATCTCTCCACGGTTTGAATTCCCTTTCGCCCCTTCCCCTCCCTGCCCCGATGCTCTGCACGGACCGAACCCCCTTCCCGGGGAGCGGGGGAGCAGGGGGAGGTCCTGGTGCCAGCGGAGGCGGCTGCAAACGAGGCGTGAAGGTCTGGGTGTGTGTGTGTGTGTGTGGATAATGACGGCTGCCTCTTTGGCAGACGGCTTGAGAGCCTTTTGCGCTAAACGCTTCGCTTTCATGACCGACGCGCGGAAGTCCATCCGCAGCCCTTGGCGCGATGGGACCTCGGCTCCAGCAGGGGCTACTTGGGGGGCTTTGCGGGGCAGGTGGCACGAAGGGGAACAAAATAAGTGTAATCTTTATTGTCCTTAAATACAACGAAATGGATGGGGAGCGGTGGTTAGGAGGCGCCGCAAGTGGGCAGCCTTGGCAAGACCCCCCCCCCCGGAGAAGTTTGAGAGCAGCGGCCCTCAACCTTGGCAACTTTAAAGATGCGTGGACTCCAACTCCCAGGGTTCCCAGTCAGCGTGGAATTCTGGGAGTTGACGCACATCTTAAAGTTGTCAAAAGGTTGAGAAATACTGATTGAAGAGGGACCCCCCCCGTCTCAAAAGACCCTGGAGCAGTGTTTCCCAACCTTGGCCACTTGAAGATGTCCGGACTTCAACTCCCAGAATTCCCCAGCCAGCATTCGCTGGCTGGGGA